GGGGCCAGCCGCTCACGGCCGTCTCTCTGCAGCACGAAGGCAAGCCCTACTGCAACCACCCCTGCTACGCCGCCCTGTTCGGGCCCAAAGGTACGCCCCGCGGCCTGGCCCGGCTCCTGGTGGGCCCAGCCCCTCGGCCCCTGGCCACCCCTGACTTGCACACTGTTTCCTCTGCAGGCTTCGGGAGAGGTGGAGCCGAGAGCCACACCTTCAAGTAGACCCAGGTACACCCCCATCCTGCCCCCCAGCCCAGCGGGTCCTCAGGATGGCCCTCCTCGCCCCCGTCCGCAGTGAGGCCTGCACTTACCCCGTCCCTGTCTCTCTGCAGGTCGTGGAGACTCCATCCCTGGCCGCTCGCTGGACCACTGCCCCTCCAGGCTGATGTCCAGCCTTAACTCTAGGCTCCTGGGGGCTCCCCTGTAGACCCCATGCCCTCAATAAACCCAACACTGAGAAGACCTGCCAGTGTGTGCCTGTCGTTGGGGGGTGGTCGAGGGAACTGCGGTGGGGGTCCTGACGCTGGGCCCTTTGCCCTGGGGGCTCTGCTGGGGGCCCACTGCAGGCTGCATCCCCTTCTGCAAGGAAGTGGCTCGGCCACCCTGGACAGCCCCGTGGAGGCTCAGCTCTCCATTTCTCAGGCCCAAAGGTGCCCCAGCCCCACTGGGCTAGGGGAAGACCCACCCGTTGACCACTAGGTCAGCGGGAACACCAGGCCACAAGTGCAGCAGTGGGAGGACCAGCCACAGGGTGAATCATCAGAGCTCATGTTGGTTCCGTTTTTGAGCTTTGGGGAGTTGTGGTGGGGAGTCCTTGCCTGCCCCCCCCCTTCTTCCTGCCCCAACCTNGGCCGGTTGACCACTAGGTCAGCGGGAACACCAGGCCACAAGTGCAGCAGTGGGAGGACCAGCCACAGGGTGAATCATCAGAGCTCATGTTGGTTCCGTTTTTGAGCTTTGGGGAGTTGTGGTGGGGAGTCCTTGCCTGCCCCCCCCCTTCTTCCTGCCCCAACCTCATCGCCATCCAGGCTCTCTCTCACCAACCCAGCAGCTGTGCTCGGCAGGGGCCTCAGCCCAGACACCGCCGTCCCTCATTTGTCCCCACCTTGTGCCTGGGGACTACTCAGTGGCTGGCTGCCCAAATGGGGTGTTTGAGGACTGTCTGTTTGGAGATGGCTGGGGGCTTTCTGGAAACTCCCTTGTCAATTTGGGCATCAGCTGCAGACTTGGCCACCCTCAGAGCCCTCCCCATGTCCCCCACTGGCCACTCCCACTTCGGCCTGGAAAACGCCACCCCTCCCAAGTCTCTGCCAACTTAAAAGAGCCCAGAAGGGTCATCTTAGCTTGGAATGTGTCCTTGGCCCTGCCCCGGGGCTTTAGTGGGGCTTCTGCACGCCTGGCCTGGACAGGCTGGGGGATGGGGGTGGCTGAAGGGCAGCCTGTAATGTCCGCTGTGTGTGAGACAGCGAAAAATGTGGCCGGGTAGCTCAGTTGGTTGAAGCGTTTCATACACCAAATGACTGCAGGTCGGATTCCGGGTCAGGGCACATACCTAGGTTGTGGGTTTGATCCCTGTTCGGGGCATGTATGGGAGGGGACTGATCCATGTTTCTCTCTCTCTCTCCCCCTTCCTCTCTCTCTCAAATTTGGTAAACACATACCCTTGGGTAAAGATTAAAAAAAAAAAAAAAA